TGTGTGTGTGTGTGTGTGTGTGTGTGTGTGTGTGTGTGCATACTTACCATATACACCAACACACACACAGACGTAATTCAACTCTCTCATATCCTTGTGCGCAGAGGGAGGTAGATTGATTCCCTGCCCTGGTGTGAAGCTGATGACTAACAAAACGGCTCTTTTTCTCTTTTGGCATCCGACAGCACCGGGGTGGCTGCGGGCTCTAAAAGCACCCATATATTCTGTGGTTTATTTTTGAACTGTCCAAGGTCATTGTTAACTCTGACAGATCACAAAAGCAGTGGGGGCGGGTGGGGAGGTTTGGATCCTCAATCCCCTATTCAAAACCGCTATCAGGGACATCTTGACCCTGCCGTGCAAGGTTAGAGCTGACACACATTCTGTACGGGTGCATGTGCGTGTGTGGTCTCGCTGTAGCACGCTCAGGGGTAGGAGGAGCGAGTGAAAGGAGGCTTAAGGATGACAAAGTGCAGGTACTCTTTGATCCCCAGCCCACATAGTGTGCTGAAGTGCTTTATAGTGAGGGGAATTATCTTTGATGTCCACCTGAGGACCTCCTGAGCCAAATTTTACCTTTCAGATCTGACAGGGATCTCACACACAGTTTAATTGGAGCAGTGAACTGGTTTGTTTAGTGCTCAAGCATCACCTCTGTTTGGCAAACATATTGTCCTAAAGCCAACCAGTGCATTTTGACCGCAACAAAAGTTGGAAATCTCAAACTTTAGAGCAAAACTTTTCCATTTAAAACTTTCACTTCTTCTCAGTTTTGCTTGTTTGTTCTCAGGGGTTTAGGGCAGATTTGTTATGCCAGTGTTGCTGTAATTCATCTTTGCCATCTGAGTGCTCCGGCAGTGGAAAAAATTAACATGGAAGTTACAAAAACTGCAGTTCCTCTAAATGCCTTGCTCCAAGAGCGAGTCACATGCAAACATCCCCAACTTTACAGAACAGCCTGATATAAAAACAGATTTGGTCTTCATGAAGGGTTTCCTCTTTTATGACAACTGTTGTGTAGGTGAATTTACTATATAAGTCATCCATTTAGGCACTGATGAGACCTAATTAGCAGCTATAGGCTATTGGTTGTAGTCTTTGTGGAGTATTATTACTGTAGCTGTTTCACAAATGTTATTGGTTACTATGTTGTGCAAACCACCCAAGTCTGTGCTCCCAGTTTCCTGCAATGTACCTGTGCAGTTTATGGATGAAGCTCACTGGTAGCTAGTCATATCTAGCTTCAGCTTTGAGTGTCTGAATGCAGGAGAAAATTAAAGGGACATTTCAGCAGTTATAATAGCTTTGTGTTGTTCATTAGTTATTATTTCATTTCCAATTTTAGTTTCAATTTGATTACATTTGGTATCCAGAGTAAGTATAGTTTTGGTTTTTATTTGTTTCAGCTTCAATTGTTGTAATTGTATGAATTTATTATGGGAAAGTCATTTTAATTTTAAAAATACGATTATAAAAGTTCTGAATAGGTATTACAGTACAAACACCTGGTTTTTATAGACACTTGACTCACATCTCACACAAATAATAGTATTTAATTTTAAATTATTTTAAATTATTATATATTAATATTGTTTCAGTTACATTTTTAAGTAGTTTTATTTTATTTCAGTAAACTGCAGGATTTTTTTGTATGGTATTATTTGTTTTTTGTGCCTGTCATACAGCAATAACAGCAATAAACAAGTAAAGTCATAAATCCAGTAGTAAGACCAGTGTCTTATAACAATAAAGAAAAAAATAACTTCAGTTTTTAAAAAAAAAAGCTGAAATATTAAGAGCATCCAAATAAAGTACTGCACGTTGCACAGACACCAAAAATGGTTAAAAACAACAACAAAAGATAATAATTATAATAACATCTTTATTTTTTTAATGAGTACAAAAGACCTCTCATGGTATTTCGTCATATCTCTATGGTCTGTATTTATAACTGAAGCTGCTCTCAGAGTTGAACACTGAGTATTTTCCACAGCATCCTCCTCTGCAGAATTTCCACAGAAGACTTCAGCTCTGCTCCCAGGATCAGCTTTCATGATGAGCTTGTTAAGTTTGTTGGCATTGGCTGCCTTCACACTGCTCCCCCACTAAAATACGATTTTCGTCTAACTAGCGGTGCATTCTGTAGCAGACCAAACAAGACAAATGAGCAACAGAAGGCAAATATTTATAAATCAGCGTACAGTGCAAAAAGAAGTAGAAGAGAAAAGTCATATCAGTTTGATTAAATATACACAAATATTATGAACTACAAATTCCTTTGGGTGCTTTGCTTGGTGTACAGTAAGGAAGGAGGAAGTAGCTTTGGAGTAAGTAATGTTGGGGCAGTGTTAGCTTTTCATTGTCACTGTGTGTGTTTATGTGTGTATGCAGCACACAGGAGATAAGACTATACTTAGATTCACATGTGTTTTTAACACTAAAGTGACAACTCTGGAGACTAAAATGAGCAAGAGGGTTAATTTATGGCCCCATTGTAGTTTACACAGGAGCATTTTTAATGGCTCTGTTTGTGTTTATTCATCATTTCCTTTATCTTCTAGTGTAATTATGGTTTTTCAATTATTTTTGTTAAAAGAAAGAATTAAAATTTACAAATAAAAATTGCATTTATTTACACAATCTGTAAGGCTAGCAGTTCTTTGTGTCAGTTCCCATATATGTGTATATTACCAAGCCCTCCAATCAATTAATAAATATTTGTCTATGTAAAGATGTGTAAACTCAGACTTTCAGCTTTAATTCTGAGGCTTTTAATTTAAAAATGTCTTTACTGTTATATATAATGTATTACTGTTTTATATGTGTGTGTGTGTGTGTGTGTGTGAGTGTGTGTGTGTGTGTGTGTGTGTATATATGTGTGTGTGTGTATGTGTGTAGTTATATATGTGTTTATGTGTTGTGTGTGTGTGTTGTGTGTGTATGTGTGTGTGTGTATATATATATTATATATATATATATTATCTATGTATATATATATATATTATAATATATATTATAAGAGAAAAGATAGATATATATATAGATAGATAGATAGTAAGGGCTTGCTAGTTGTACGTTGTACATTGTTGTTTAACTATGCCATTACTTTAGAGCATGAATGTCATTTTCTTGTATTTTTGTGGAAAAATTGGTTTCTTTCACTGCACAGTGTATATTTTAACCTCCAGAGATAAATGCTGTAACTAATCTTGAAAGAACTGCTGTGGTTATCTGAGTTTCCTTGTTGTTTCTCAAACATCAGCTGTCGAGTCCTGCTCTGTCACTGTTTAGTCATTTTGGAGCCAGATGAAGCAGCATAGTCAGAGCATCTACTCTTTGAAAATGTTTGGCCTGCAGACTGCTGACGGATCCAGCAAATCCTTAACAGACTGAATGTGTTTTATGAGTCTGTCTGACCACAGTGTGTAATTAACTGCTGACTCAACTCCAGAGCTGTTAACACAGAGCAGTTAGCTTTAGCAAGTAAGAATAGACTACTAATTAGAGATCCTTGGACATAAATTGTTGTGATAATTGTGTTCATTAAAGAGACAAAACAAACATTTTCTTTAGAAAAAAGGCAGAAAATGAAGCTTTGATAACCACACAGTCTGTGGTACTGGGCTTGTGCCACAGGGAATTTCCATAATGCAGTTCCCAGTATCCCACCCCAGTCCTGGTTTTACTCTATCTTTAATTTTAATTCCTAACCTCTGATTAGCTTGGCTCCCTGACAAAGGAAAGAAAAATGCTGATTTAGAAGAAAATTGTTAAATAAACAGTGTCACCTCATGCTGTTATGCTTTTTTTTCCACTTTTAGGCAGAGCTGCTCACCGGTACCTCGGTAGCCAGTGTGGAAGAGGCACATCGGGCTGGTCAAAAGCTGTTGAAACGAGGCTGCGGGTCAGTTATTGTCACCTTGGGGCCCCAAGGGTGCGTGGTGCTCAAGGGAGGGGAGCCTACATTAAAACATGTTCCAGCTCCTGAGGTCACAGCAGTGGACACAACAGTAAGAATACCATATCCTTTCCAGTTGCCTATTTTCTATAAATTATCAAAACTTAAGAACCTAAAAAACTAACTTTGATGGCACCCTGACTCGAGTTCGGGGATAGATTCTCTGTCAGTCTAGAAACCCAATATATTTGGCCCACTCACCCATCTCACTTGAGTTGGGTGATATTTAAGGTTTTCATCAGTTCAATGCTGGTGATTGCCAGTATAGTCGCCCCTGTACCCTGCCACACTCGCTTGTTGTGAAAACCAATATAAAATTACCCATTCAGGTTTATCTTTGCTTATAAATACAGCTAAACCAGCAAAAACCAGCAAAGCAGTGAAATGATTCAATCACATCAGTTAGTTAGTTAGTATGCAAATAAATGATTAGGGTTCAAAAATATCAAGAAGACTATTAAAACTGAAAAACAACTGTCTTAGAGAATGTGTTCAATAGTTGATTTTTTTTTTCAGTTTCCCAGGTTTACTCCAGCCTTCCTCTGTTTTTTGTTTTGTGTGTGTGTGTGTGTGTTTGTATGTGTGTGTGTGTGTGTGTGTCTTGCTGCAATCTACTGAAATTAGTGCTATAGCTCACTGTAGCTTTTAGTCCAAAATGAGAGGAACAAACCTCAAGAGAACAAACAAGAGAAGAAAGCAGATATATAGTGCAACTAATACTAACACAAACTACATCAAAAAGCGTTCTAGATGATCAATATAAGGTCTTGCTGTTAGTGTACATCATTGACAGATGAAGCATATATGATAGGTGTGTTACCTTCATCAACTCTGTTTTTGAGTGGGATCCGGTGAAACTAAGAAGCAAACTGACAGTTTTTCTTTGTGCATGTCTAAATGAAGTTTCTCAACAGCTCATGTTCCACTATATAACAGTATAAATAATAAAATATAATACAAAATATAAATATAGAATAGTTTTATAGTTTCCAAAGACACCAAAGAGATGCTGAGACTGGCCAGTTTTCAGTTTGTGCAAAGTTTAGTGTTTTAGATCTCCAAAATTAAAAAATAACAAAAATGAAAATTAATTCAAAGTATAAATAAACAAACACAAAATTCTTAACTAAACAAACAGTCAAACAGTAAAAAAATAGCAAGCTACAATATGAGTAAAAGTTGGAAAACTGTTGGCTAAAACCGTGGCTAGCTGTCAAAATTATTAGCATAACAGTTTGGATAAGTAGTCACAATTATAAGTTTAATATAATGCTAACCAAGTTAAAATAGGAAGTTAAAATAGTAAATAAACAATTATAACCAAAAAAATAACAATTGATTGAAAGTAGGGATAAAAAAATTGGAAATTAGAATACATTTTGATTGTTATTTTTATTATAATGGAACAATTTCAGCGTACATAGAAGTCATTTGAAATTTGAAGATGCTCTGTGAGTAAGTCAAAATTTTCAAGGTAACTTGAAATTTTAACTTGGATCAATGTGGCAATTTTTTTGTGTGTGGCAGAAACAAGCTTCCAAATGGTTAAAATAGCTTGCAAAAATTATAAATAAAATTATGATGGGAAATAACACCATACAGAAGTATGGAAACAAACAAAAATACATAATATTTGCTTTTATATACATGGTATCCTTTAAAATATGCTATTTACTTTTATGTTGTACTGATCACTACCTCAGATCACTACCACTACCTACCTCACTAACCTCAGCTGTGTTTTTCCGGATATATTCTTTATTTCAGAAGTAGTGTTTGTTCTCAAGAGGCTCTTTCCATATTAACAAAAGAAAATATGTCAAATGGAAAATTATGTTCTATCAGTAAGAAATATCATGTAATGTACATCAATAAGAGAGGGAAAAAACACCCCAGAAGTTCCTCACACTTTCTTCTGCACATGCATCATCAGTGAGTGAAGTCCTGCTTCTCTAACCTCCATCAAACTTACAGATGCTCTCTTACTCAACCAGAGCAGTTTAAGATAACCGGAGGATGTGGTGACCACTGGCTGTTTCCTCTAACTGATTTCAATCTTTAAAGGATTGCTACTTGAGTCATTTCACACCGGCCTCTGCGGCTTGTTTTCGTCACACGAGCCTGGGGCCGACGTTTGCATTTCCTGCCGCTGGGGGTTTTGTGGTGAATGTGTTCTACCGACCAAATACGTCATCACTCAGTGGTGTTAATCACCTCTTTGCTTTAATCGAACCTGGAGAGGTTTAATTGTTTGTGTGTAATGGGTTCTCTTACACAACACTTCCCCCCCTGGGGACTTTTACTGTGCCACAGTTTCCAACCAGTACAGTTAAAAAAGCTATAACAAGCATGTGATTTGAGCTTTACATGAATGCCAAATCAGATGTTGTGAAAGTGAGGATTAAAGGCTGCGAAGAGGCTTCACTTGTCATCCTAGGGTCACTTTTTGGTATTTCACAAACACAGCTCTCGCTTTCATGTGTGCACGGGCTGTGACCTCCCGCTTGTCCCCACATTTTTGGAGTACACAGCTCCCGTTATTCACAACCTTCGCTCTCCCCAATAGCCCTCAGGAGCACTTACACACCAGCCCTCCTCTTCATCCATGACTCACCTCCTGAGCTTGCATCAGTCAGCAGAAAGCTGTGGTCGGGCCTGCTGCACGCCTCCCCCCCATTCTCTCACTCACTCACACACACACACACACCCCTCCTGCTCTTTGATGGGCCCATAAATTGTGTTGTGTTTAACTTTTTTGGACATCATAATCCCTCTTCCAGTAAGACTCTTTCTTGTTTTTACTGGCGAGAGGGAAAAAACAACAGGTTGTTTTTGAGACCATTATTCTTCTGAGCCTCTTCTGGTAACACAGGCCTCTTAGTTATGATTACATCGGCTGTTATTACTGCTTTGATTTTTTTCTCTCTCTTTCTCCCTTTCTAGCAGTAGTGACAGAGATGTTGTAGAAAGATTGCCTTCCAAGTGGGAAGTTTTGTTGCAGATTGCGAGTTTTCAGCTACGCTACCAACAAACTGAGTCACTTGCGGTTTCTCGCTATTTTAGCTACTGTTCAGCTAGGCGCCGCAGGTGCGGTGAACCGGTACCAAACCGCTATCTTTGTCTTTATTTCAACTTGTCCCAGCTGGATTATGTCAGATTGATTGATTGAGTTTGGTTAATGAAGTGCTAATGCAGCTGCTAAATCACGTAGCTTGTAAATATTTCATCAGCATCTCCTCGTGCAGCTGTCTGAAGAGCACTACGGGATGAGTCAGGGCCGTGAATCTGGATGAATAACAAAGCAAACACACTCATCTACTGCGGGTCTCCCCCATCCTGCTTCTTCATCCTTCATCCATCCGTGCCCCCTTTTGTCTGAAATTGAGTACAGGCTTCCCCTTGCTGAGATCAGAGCCTTGGCTGTTTTGTGTGGACAGTAAGATGAGATTTAATGCACACATATAAACACACACACACACACAGGCACATTGAGCTCCAGCAGGACTTGGGTGGCCTCAGTTTCCACTGTTCCGGGAGGTCCACTGTGTAGGGTGAGAGGTAGACAGTCCTGTCTAAACCAGACATTACAGCTGTACAGTGGGTCTGGACACTCAAATTATTCCCAGTCTTCTCCGGGAGCAATTGCACGATTCCTTCCTGGAAGGCCGAGGTAAGAGAATACCTCCTCCTCTTCTCTTCGCTGCATTCCTCGACCCTGCAAACTCCCGGTCAGTGTGACACAACGCAAAAAAAAACTGCCACATCACCATGTTTTAATGGAGTGCACGTGCTTCACCAGCTGCTGTTTGGCTACCCAGATGTTAGCCCAGACCTCCGCAAACGCTCAGTCATGTCGATAAGTGTTAAACACACAAAAGGTCGATTGAAGACTAAGACAAAGCGCTGCGGATGGATCAAAGATGCAAGGGGGCCCTAACTGGTCCAATTAAGCATGCTTTTGATCTGCGAGTCTTACTGGAAGCTTCCGGGTGTGGAAGCCTCTGTGAGTCATCACTGCCCCTCAGCCAGTCTTAGCTCTCCCCAGGGTGCCTTTCATTGACAAAAGCTGTAGGTTTCAGGAGTTAACTGCAAATAACTCCATCTGTTATAGCAGAGGGCCTCTGGGTGAGAAATACTGTTGCTCGGTGCAGATTCTCGAACAGTCAGTGGGTGCAGTGGACTATAAGACGGCAGGCTCTGTAAAATCTACATTTTCTATAGGCTCTCTTTTTTGTTTTGTGTTTTGGTTTTTTGCATTCACTGCCGCTCTTCACTAGACAAAGATCACTTGTCAATCAGAGCGTGTGGGCGCTACTGTTGTCTTTGGATTTTTCGTTGATGGACACTGTTGTGTTTCTGTATGCTCTCTTTTGTTTGTCTGTGCAGCCGTGGCAGTTAGCAGCTATTCAGCTGTTCTTCTCTGTGTTTTCCTCGAGTACACACACACACACACACACACACACACACACACACACACACACACACACCATTTGTACTTCATGCTGCATGAAGCTTCAAAACAAGGTAATTTCTCAGTTTTATCACTGACAGCCAATCAGATAAAAGTACTTTTGCAGGAAACAGAAAGGTTTCAGTGGATTTACCGCTGGATTGTCACTGTTGAGGGGTAATAGAGCTACTAAAGTTATAAAATAAAGGTAAGTGTAATCCGTTGTGGTTACTAATAAACTACTATATCTAAGCAACTAAATGACAGTTACTAACTAGTTACTATCAGACAGTAGACCACCAAGTCACACTACAGCCACAACAAAAAGGGTCAATACTGTTTTTCTTTCTATATAATAGCTTCAATATATTTAATAAAGCCTAGTTACGGGCCTTCTTTTTAGATACACATGAGCTTTTCAGTGCTTTTTAAATATATTTGAGCTCAGTCCAAGTGTCCCAATGTCATGCTTTTGAGCATAACTATTATTAAATATATATATATA